TGGGGATTTCCAAACATAGGGGACCCTATTATAATGCCCTAAATACTAGGATCCTTTTATAAGGACCCAAAATAAGGAACCCTAATTTTCGGAAACTCCCATGTAGATGTCTATTCGGGCGATGGTGCATGGTCTCGTCCATGGAAGCTCGCGTGCCGGCTGCGGGCATCTGCCCTCCTTTTGCCAATGGAACATGCACGCGATGCAGCTGTCTCAGTGGGGCCGCTTTACACTTCCGGGAGTGCATTTTCTTCAGTGGACACTGCACAAGGCAATCTGCTTGAAATGCACTGCTGGGCAACCCTGAGATTCGAGATGTTACGACGGATGCGCATGACAAAACTCAGTGCTAGCTGGGTCAAGAATGACTGGCTCCCGGCGGGCGTGCAAATGGCCCCATTGTCTGTCGCTGCATAAACAGAGACGGCTGGAGTAGCGGTCAGGAGTTGCATGTCGAATTGCCTCTGTGCCTGCGACGAACAGCCACACCTCGCGTGCTGCAACCTGCGCGACACCCAAACCCTAAACCCTAGGCCCTAAGCCCCAAAACCCTAAACCGAACCCCTTCTTATCCGCCTGCCACTCAAGGCAGCATGCCGGAACCGTCTTGCTTGCTTTGGCCCTTCCAGGCTCCAGCTGCTATCTTTCGGACATCGTGAGCTCTTGGAGGCTTCAAACCGTGTCCAAACCCCAAAAACCTTACACTGAGTTGTAATGAAGACAAGAACCTCCAGTCTATTGAAACTTTGAAGCACGTGGTCTGTTCACAGCAGGCCGCTCCGGCATGTTGAAAATATTATGGCATCCGGTATTGCCCTTCGGCCGCCGACGAAGGGAGCATGAAATGCATAGCAACCACGTCAGCACGACAACGGTTGTAGGGCCGATAGTAGCAGTAGCACTTTAGAAGTAATAGCATCAACAACAGAAACATTCACCAACATTATGCTCGCGGCTATTAGCAGCTAAGCTAAACCCAAGTCATCTTCCAGAAACCGCTTCGGCGAGCCCGAGGTCAAGTGACCCGATGGAGACCGAAAGGCGGGCCCTAAAATTGAGCCTGGCATGCAGGAAGCCTCCTTTAGGAGATGCTTCGAATTCGCTGAGTTTCGGGCTTCGGGTTTCAGGGGTCGGAGATATTGTACACGAAACCATTTCAAACTACCAAGGCCCCTGAAGTAGGTTTCAACCACTGTTGAACTCGTAGTCTTCTCCCTGGATCCCACAGGGAGCATGGACCACATCTAAGCCCACCTTCGAAGATAAGCAAAAAAGCGCATGCGTGGAGATCCTGTTGTAACCAAAAAACAGAAGACAAAACCAAAAACACCACCCAAGCACTTCGTAGACATGATGCCCTCTACCCTACACCTTTTGTCCTTAATCTTGAGGTAGAAGTAGGAAACATGGAACATCTATCCTCATGTCCCTCCAGTAAAGCATGGGGAGAATCTTGGCACTTCCCCTTTATCCGTGATCCAACGTTCTGGGATGCTTTGGGAATTTAGGTTCAGAGCATCAACCCTGAACCCGGAGCCCTTCCAGCTGAGAGTTCGCTGATGAGAACCACCGGCCGGATCTGTTATCAGAAAAGGTACCACCCATGGAGGCTGCGCCTGCCAAGGCATCGGGGGCAAAAGCAGGTGCTTCCTTTCAGCGGTTTAGGGTTTAGGGTTTAGGGTGTCCTACGACGAAGGGTATCTAAAAGAGTTCCTCAGGTTCTGAAACTGCCATGATGAGTCGGATGTGAGGCTTTTGGGCTCGGAATATTCCTTTCTAAACTCGGTCTCCCGAAATCTCGAATGCGTGTAGGGAAGAGGACGTGAATGGCGATCTAGGGCTCATCCCTGCGGAGCTATGGGTCTCGGGCTTAGGATTAAGGTTTAGGGTTTAGGGCGTCCTCGACATGTACCGAATGCTCCCCATGCAGCAGGGCTTGGAGATGTTAAGCGCACGAGTTGGGGCTACAGGGATTCTTCAAGGCAATCTAAAAAAGGACCTACAGGGAGACCTCAAGCCTCTGATGAGGTCTTTCAGACGCACTGCCTCAGCGAGGCTCTGACCGCGGCGAGGTTGGCCCTGCGCAGCTGGAGCCATGTCGGAAAGACAAAAAAAAGCAGGCACTTCAAGCCAGAATCAGTTAAAGGAAACTACAGGTGGGGAGTTTAGGGTACATAGGGCTTCTATAAGGCTTCTACAAAGGAATATAGGCCTTCTATAAGGCTCCTATAACGGTAACTACCCACCTGAAATTGTCCTAGAACCAACCCTAAACTTTAGGGTTTCGACTCTGACACCCGCACAAGGCCGGCAAGGCACCTCACTTTAGGGTTTCAGCACTCACTCTCGAAAGGGTTTAGGGTTTAGGGTTAGGAAAACCTGAACCCTCAACCCTAAGACTGGTATGAGGACGAGTAGAAGCTCAAATCGTCAGGCCAACAACCCTTACACACGTGATGCTGCCACTGATAGCTTGAGGACTTGGGCCTATGATCCAGAGGCTGGGATAACGGGACTTGCTTGTCAAGCCCTGCTCTTAGGACGCATTTGCAAGGAATTTACGCTTCACGACTTCTGGCTTTCAACTCATGGTTCAGAGTTTAGAGCTTAAGCCCTACACAAGCCTGGTCTTTTGCGTGGTTATGGGCTTCCGGTCTGAGTTTTAGCTCAGATGCGATTCTCGGGGATAGAGAGCTGTGGCTTGCCAGCCCTCCGAACGCGCTTTGGAGTTTCGGGGCTGGGGGTTTAGGGTTTAGTCTTTACGGTTTAGAGACAACGGGTTGATAATGCGAGCCAGAAGCATCCCCGTGCTAGTCGCTTGCAGGCTAGCAGAGCTTCAGATCATGACATGTTACAAGGTAAATCTAGCCCTGCAATTCAATCCAAGTTGCAGCAAAGCCATGAACGCTGAGACTCTGATGACACCCAGAAGCCCAAAACAGCCCTCTGCATTCCGAACCCTTTACAACCCTAAACCCTTTGACACTCCGACGCCCTAAACCGTTTAACACTAAACCCAGTCCACCAAACTTCCTTAATCTAAAGCCCCTACAACACGCTAAACGTTAAACGTCCTACGCCTGAAACGTCAACACAGAGGTCTGAAAGATTAGCAAACATGTCCATTTCCAGTCCCTATATAGTTTTACCATAGTATATCCCCAGTCCAATTCTCAGGGCCTCTACACCCTGCTCTTACAGTTAACTTTGCAGACCCCGGCTATAAATAAAGAATAAAGAACCCCACGGAAAAGCACAAAGTGAAAGTCCTAAGTTAGGTCCCAAGCTCCAGACAGAACACCCTACTAGTATATACCATTCTTCAAGCCTCTATACTGTGAAAGCCTTCTAGTACGCCGACAGTAACCCTTCTTTTGCCTCCCGCCTCAACTAACACTTAAAGCGCCCCTGTGCGGAAAACTCTTCGAATTCCAAAGGCCGCGTGCTTGATCAGGGACGCTGGGACCTACCCTAAACCCTAAAGCCTAGACCCTAAACCCTTTTGCAAACCCCTAGATCCTAAACCTTAACCTCAATATAGGCCTTCATAATTGTAATAGGGTGTTGGAGCGCATGAGACTATACCTATAAGAAGGAACCCCAACATAGTATTGGTAATAATTTAGGCCCCTACATTGACCGCCCTCAGAAACCCTCTGAGGCTCCAGCTCAACTGCTCGTCGTCTGACTTCGCTCTGCCCGGAGACGTGGGAGCTGACACCAAGCGGGGACTGTAGGATCGGGCTCAAGCTGGTTCTGCTGGGGTTCTAGCGGTGTCTTTATAGCGGGGTAGAGGGTTCTATAAGAGCTGGAATGAGATTCTACAACATTTTGAAGGGTTTAAGGGCTCTAGAAGGGTTTGAATCAGGTGCTATGGGATTTTATCGGGCTCTGTAGGGTTCAATAATGGAAGGGTTGCACGAGGGTTCATAGGCCTTCATCGGGTTTTGCATGGCCTTTTCGGGTTTTCAGAAGGCTTTACTATAAGGGCACGTCATAAAGTGTTCTGAAAAAGCCACGAAGAAGCCCTGCGAACCCTGAATGACCGATGCCTTGAGCCTCTACAGCAGCCCAACACTCTCACATCGGACAAGCCAGGCGAGGTCCCAGGTTTAGGGGGTTCTGGGACAAGGTTTGAAGTCACCCAGCCTGATCGCTTGGCGCCGAAGTTGCTGACACTGCGGCTGATCTGGCCTCGGTATAAGGCACACGAACGACTGGACACGCTTAAGACTTATGGCTTGCAACACCTGTTTGCGCGGCCCCTGTCCCAACACAAGGTGCTGTCTACACTCTTCGTCATTGTCAGCAGCTCACAGATCATCTATTCTTCACGAAGCGGTGAACTGTTCGCGTTGCACGGACTTTTTTCTGTGAAGCTGCCTGCGCCAAAGCCCATGATAACCGACACCCTTCACCGCCAAAGAGTCAATTCTCAAACCGAGACAAGCCAGTCAAAATCCTAAACCCTAAACACCCCGCACGGTCTCTGGGTGACCAGGCCAAACCAATCCATCGGGCGCTGCAGCAGATCTTCGACCTCTTGAGAGGCTTGTCTTTTGGGATCGGGGGGCCCAGGCCTGTCTAAGCTGGAGTTCAGGAGTTCATGCGGTGATGCAGCGGTCCCGAAGAACCCTAAACTTAAACTCTAAAACCCGGGACCATGAACTCTAAGCTATGAAACCTCCACACTTAACCCCTTTTTTTCCTGCAGGCTTGTTGGTTCTCGCCTGGACAAGCTGTTCATGTTCGCCAACAGGTGTAGACGCACTACTAAGCTCCATAACCGAGTCCGGTAAGAAATGACAGAAGAAACTGCATGGTCACCCGAAGCAATGCCAGGCGCAAACACCCACACTTAACCCTAAACCCTCAAAAAAAGCCCCCAGCTCCTTACCCTCCTTTTGCAACTGGCTTTTAACGTCACGCCAGGACGGCGGTCGCTAACCCCCGCAGCTGTTAACTCTAACTGCTCAATGGAAAACTCCCATGCCTAGAAGAACGCTAGACCCTAAACCCTGAGCCCTGTCAGCGCTTGGAGGCCTCCGGCACCATGAGCGGGCAAATCTCCTCTTCGGCCTCGGGTGGCCCCGGTGGTCTACCGTAGAGTTTATGGTTTTTTGTTGCCTCCGGCATCGGTGAGCGAGACAAGACAGATACCAGTAAATTCAAACGCATTCAGGAAAGTATCTCGCGTTTTTGTGAGCATGATGCTTCACACATCGCCTGAAAGCTACTGAGGCAGCACAGCTCATTGCAAAGGGCTTAGGGATCCGCTTACAGTCCCAGAATGTTCCTGTATACACATGCGATGTGTATACCTCAGAACCCGGTTGAAATAATTAAGATGTAAAGCAAACACATCCTAGCCTCTCCATCTTAAAATCATGTCGAACTCAAGCCCTAGCAGCCCTAGCACCCGCTTGAAGGTTTCGGGTTTAGGCTTCAACATGGTTCAGAATTAGAGAGAGGGATAAGGTGTTCAACCAAGAGCCGCGGCTTATGCTTGTATCCGCAGCTCACGGATACACGGGTAGTGACTTTATCAGCAGCCGCACGTGCACTGACGAGAGTGTGCAAGAAAACAACTACATACAAGCCTGAATCCTAAAGCCCCTAGACAAACCTTACCCTAATGAACTCTGAAACCCGGAGTGAGGAACCTCACAACACAAAGAAGCACTGGCCTGATCCGACGGCAGTGTCCAGATCTCTCCAGGCAGCCGCCGCAACTGCCGGAGACCACCACAGTCTACACCAGAAATGGCTGCTGGGGTGTTTGGAGCGGGTTTCACACACTCCAGAAAGATAACACGACAGAGAATGAGGATGACAACGATGAGAAAGACGAAGGGACGGAGACAGACGGCGAGATAAGTCAGAGAGAAGGGAGAGAGGGGAGCGAGGATGACAGCGAGAAGTAAGCAGCGAGAAGCAAGGCGAGAGCGACAGCAGCCCTCGGCCCGCAACCCGTACTCCGGGATTGGATCCGACTACAGGGACAAATCCCGAACTGAATTTTCAGCACTGAACCGAACAAACTCTTAAACGGACCCTGCAAGCTCGGCCAGGATCTGAGCCCAGGGAATAGGCGGTTTTAGGCACAAGCCCGTATTGCAGGACCAAGCCTGAAGCGTCTGACGAATCGATCTGTAGGGAGCCCAAGGCGTGAGGGGAGCCTGAAGCTCCCAAACCCTAATCCTAAGCCCTGAGCCTACATCCCGTACACCTAAACCATGAGCCCAGATTGGTCTTGCTACCAAACCCTGAGCGCAATACGACCCAAACCCTGAACCCACATCCCAAACCCTAAATAATTTTGTGTACTGTATGTTTGTAGTCATATGTATATTGCTGTTTACATACAGTCACATATACTGAAGCCCCTGTGCCTTTTCGGATCTATCCTTCCACTCTGCCGAGTTCTCCTGCAGATACTCCTCCGGATGTGCGGCTTCAGCTCTTTTAGGCGTGGAGTTGCAGCACTTTGGGTTGTAGGTTTGAGAAGGCTGGGTTTAAAGCTTCAGATTTTCGCAACGCGATTCCACATCCCTACTGAGAAGGCTGATGGCCCATTTCACGCGGGATATGAACAAGAAAAGCTACATGACACACGAGAAGCTAGCATTTACTACAGCAGAAAGACTCCTCGACTCAACACTCAACAACACTAGCTTCATCCACGTGCGACGTCATCACCTGCACAATGCCACACTTCCCAGGTTTAGGATAAAAAGGCGTTGTTGTTAGCATTCGAGTATAGACTTATGCATGGCAGAAGGCCCTTCAAAGAGTTGGGCCGCGTGATGCCGTGTGTTTAAGGGGGTCTAGTGGGCTCAGGATCGGGTTCGATACGCGCTGCCACATGCGATTGACATTTCCAAGGGTTTGCCTCTTTATAGAGTGTCCTGAAGCTTGTAACAAGGTCAGTGCTTTTTCGTACCGAAGAACCCCCGAACCCGACAAAGCATGTGCGGCGAATCAGATACGAACGGACTTGAGTCCGAGCGCTCGCTGCATGTTTCAAGCTTCGGGTTCAGAGCTTGGGGCTTCAGGCAATGCCCACTGCACAGGTGCCGCGATAGGTGTCGAAAGGACTCGGAGGCCAAGCGCATAGCGGATCTCCTAAGGAATTTGTTTTCCAAGAGCATCTCCTCTTGACTGCAAGGGAGGGGCTTTGCTAAGTCTCCTTATCCTGTCAGTGCGCAATACCCTGGCAGAACAGCATAGACCTTGCGGCTCAAGACAAACCCTGTATTGCAGCTTCCCTCCTGCCCTGCTGACGGGGCCGCACTGCAAGTTTCGGAGTTCTGCTTTTGGGGTTTAGGGCTTCGGGCGTTTAGGCCAGGGTTACAGAAATGAGGCGAACTTGGGCCCCCTGCGTTTAGGGTTTGGGGGCTTTAGAAAAGAAGGTTGCGTTGGAGGGCTTATCTAGAGGTTCGCTCCGACTCCCGTGGAAGGGAGCATGGCCTTGCCCACCTCGAAAGGAGGAATGGGCTTCTGCCCATCAAGGCAGTGCGAGAGCAGCACCTGACAGGACTTACGGTTAAGGGGTTTAGGACTGCGCACGCGAGGTTGGTACGGTCGGTGTGAGCAGAGGCATTGAAGCTTCGTGCTGAGCTTGTCGTCGTGTAAGTGCCGAAGTCTTTCAGGATTGGTTGCGGGCAGGCCTGGGTCTGCACGGCTTGGAGCCGAGTTTGAGGGTGCACGGGCTTTTTCCTCGTCGGACTTTCACTAGCGCGTGACCTAGGACATTTTCACAACGGCTGCGATAAATAAAACATTTGTTTACTGTTTACATTCCATGCTTGACGCCACTTTATGCCTTAGGCCTCCGGTACCGTGTCACTGCATTGTGCCCGTGGCGACACTGTGTCACAGTGCGAGAGGTTGCGAGAGCTCAGCACGCGGCACAAACATCGCTCCAAACATGCTCAGCTCTGCAAGAAAGATGCAACTGCTGGATGGGATTCGAACAAAGCTGTTTGGAGCTCGACCGGCAGGTCGTCCAGAAGTCTCCGTTGTCTGCAAGACCAAGCGTACATCGCCCGCTCCTCCGCAGGCTTCGATCGCGGCATCTTACCGTGCCTCTCCACGAACTCAACAAGATCTTGCAGTCGTTGCATCCATGTGTTCTTGTGGATCCCTAGCTCTCGTCTTCGCATTTTCACCACCCATCTCGCAACGATGGGGCCCTCCTTCTCCAGCAGCTGGAGGCGCCTCTCACGGACTCCCTGTCCGGGTGCTACAAGTGAGTGCAATATTTGAGTCAAGTCCAAACCGTCCTTGGGAGTGGATTTGGGCATGCGATGGTGAGCCCGAACGAACTGACGCAGCTGCTTCAAGCATCGCTCAAAGGATGTCTCCGGTTCCAGCCATTTCGCAACACGGGCAACCAACCTGCCACAGGAGGAGTTCAGCAGCTTTTGCATCCTGGCAGCGGGGAGTGACTGCGTCTTGCTGTTGACGCCAACATGCTGCAGCCAGATTGCCAAGCTTCTCTCATCAGGCCCAGCCCTGGTCTCACGCGGAAGCCTGCCATGATCTAGCACAAACTGCTCCACTTCTTGCAATCGCAGATCCCATGGATCATGCTGCTGCAAGATCAAAGCCAGCCGATACTGGACACTGCGATGCAAGAGCTGCTGCATCATGGAGTGTTGAAGCCTGCAGTCCGTCACCCAGAAACGAGACTGCAAATGCCGGACATCGTCGGCAGCAAATCGACAGTCCGCCTTTGCTATTGCTGCGATGAACCTGTCAAGCTGGTCGGCGTTTCTACGCCCGAACATGCTCATGTCACCGGTGGCCGTCTTCGCCTTCGGCTTCCGTGAAGTGGGGCTTTGTTTGGCCGAAGGCGAGTGAAGCTGCTCACGCTCCCGTGACCGTGGGTGGCCCAACTTCAAGCAAGCAGAATCGTCTTGATGGACCACCGACCCTGTGAAGGTTGCACTGCTTCGTCCGGTGGCAGACTCGGATACGAAGACGGCTGCAGTCCCCCCAGACGAGCGCGGCGCCGGTCCGCACAGCTCCGAATCACGTACCAACCTGCCGTCACAAACAGCAAGCGACCTGTCGGGGATCTCCGCAGCACGGCACTGGCTCTCAATTACTGCTGGTGCACAAGACCCGTGATCTTGTGGTTTCGCTCTGCTGTTGCTGCCACCTTGGCTGCCAATCTGCACGTTCGCTTTGCTGACGATGTGGCGACCGCTTTCATACCGCCGCAGCCTTGAGGTCGAAAGCGACTCGCCACAGCCATCCTTGCGACCCTCCTCTCGAATCCTGCCAGGCTGGGGTAGGGCCCTTGCGCCGTTGGTCCGTGCAAGATCGCTTCGCCGCAGCTTGAACAATCCATCACCGCTTTGAGTCCCGTGTTGCGCTTCAGAATGTGCCGAAATTTGCTCTGAGTGCCGGATCGAGCTGTCGGTAACAGTCGGCCCAACCATGCTGCGGTCTCTCTCTCCTTGACGAGGCATCACCCGTGCCGGCAATATCGGCGATTCCTGGACTCGGATATCCTGCACATCCTCGCAACCTGCAGAGTGTGACGCTCCGGCTGAAGCCACCAAACCGTCTTCAGTTGTGCTCGTGGCACCACGGCTGTCGCTCAAACCACGTTGAGCAGTGCCAGCCGTGGCCGGGGCGGCAGGCATCACAATCGCAGGCAACACGACGTGAGCCAAAGGTTTCGCAAGATGAGGCCGCAGCACCCGGCCGATGGCCTGTATTATGCTCACGTAGCTACTTCTGGGCTCAACGAACATGCAGGTGTCGGCGTTCGGAATGTTGACGCCTTCTCCCAGCACCTGAACCGTCACCAGCACGTGCACGGCCTTCTGCAGCTTGCCCGAAAACTCGTCCATCACTCGCTCTCGCACCTTGCGGCTGGTACACGCGTTGATGTGCCACGCTGCGACCCCAACCGTCTCCAGCACCTTCTGGAACCGCTTGGATTCAGCAATGGAATTGCAATATGCGAGCACGCGGCGAAACCGCCCTGCTTGTAACAGCAGCAGGTTCGCCAAGCAAATGTACGGATGGCCTTCAGTCGTCACGGGCACGGTCAGGTCGTAGTCGCACAGCACCCCCTCATCAACGGCTTGGCCAAGGCTGTACCGAAAATCCGCATTTTCCTTGTGCGTGGCCGAGAACTTGAAAAGCTGGTTGCAGTCGGGCAGCTTTGATGGAGTGGGATGATGGGCTTCATCGACGAAAATGGCCTCGAATATCAGCTTCTGCAGCAGATGCACTGAACGAGTCACACTGATAAAGCCCCTTGATGCCATGTCGATATTATCGTTGTAGCTGGTTCCCACTTTGCAGAAGCCAGGCATCTCTCCAGCGAACTGCTCCAGGAGCACCCGGGAGGGGACGATGACCAACACCTGCCACATTCGGTCCCTAGCACTCACGAAAACCCACACTTTCAATGGGTGCCCCCTCTCCGCCTTCCCGGGTTGCTTCGCCGCCAGCTCGCGGATGATACGCGTCTTCCCGGTGCCGCAGGCCATCTCGATAACCCGGGCTCCCTTGGCGCACGCCTCCAGGCAGGCCTCCTGGCAGGGTCGCAGCGGCGGATCCGGAAGGTGGCCGCTACCAGTAGGAGCGTGGCCAGAGGTCGGACTTGACACCTCATCGGGGCACAGCTGGCGCAAGCTCTTCTTGGTCATTATCTTCCGCTGACCGCCGTAGTCGCGCAGCCACTTCTGGGAGTCGGCAGAGATTGCGCAGCCCTTGAGCGTCCAAAGAGTGCAGCACGGGGCCTGCCAAGCTTTTCAAAAAGTCATGCAGCTTCCGTGCGTGCTATGGAAGACTTTGGGACCCGCCGGCCTCAAACAAGCATTTGGAAGTTCGCAGGAACCGCTTCACATCCTGGCCGGTGGCATTCCCAGCCCGACAAAGAATCGCCCGCTGGCCGTCCAAGCTGAAGAGGTCCACTCCTTCCGCCCGAAAAGGGGCAGGAGCAACTCGAAGTGACTGTCGCAGGAAGGTCTTGGACTTCAAAGCTGCCAGCTGTTTATGCTTTCTTCACCCCTGCCAGGCCTAGACGCCGACGTGTGAAGTTGTGCCGCTCGAAGAACCAAGGCGGCAACTCCTTCTGAGCATGAGTGGAACTACAAAGTCTCTCCGCTTCTTTACCCACCCACGCCCCCTGAAATTTCACTTTCTCCCCTTGCCAGTCCTGCGTAGGCACGGCATCGAATTCCAAAACAGCAGCCCAAAGAAGCCGCTGCTCATGCTCGAGGAACGGCCACGCCAAAGCCTGCGCGTTCGCTCAACTTAACCAGCTCCATCGGCTTAACTACAAGTAGCATCTCAAACTTGCTGAAGCTATCTCATCAAAACGCGTCATTCCAAGAATTTGAAACGCGACCCATCGAACTACTCAGCACTAGCTCAAGCTATTCACATGACATCTCACCATCTAGACCCAGAGCCCGAAACTGCCCGAATTCTTTATGAAATCCCCCCCTCTTCAAAAGAAACATGAACCCAAAAACAGTCCCCCACACGCATCGGCACCTCGTGGGCCAAGCCACGGAGCCGTCGCATGAAGACCACATCACGACCTTCGCCGGCCCGAAGCTCAAACTCTGAGGCCTATGCATTCACCTTGGCCTCGCTCTCTCTCTCTCTGTCTCTCTCTCTCTCTCTCTCTCCATACGCACGAACATGTATTCTGTGCTTCGGGCAGACAGACCGATCTTGTGCTCGGACCATTGACGCTGGGCCACAGTAAGTCTAGACGTCCGGTGTCCACGTGGCAACTGCACATCCCCAAAAGGCCTCTAGGCTTCCCTCCCATACTTCGCAATGCCGAGTCGCTCGGATGTGAGCTCGCAGCTGCTTCACATATCGTCCTCTCACAAACTTCGAGGAAAACAGCGACTGCGACTGGCAGTGATCCAACTACAGCTATAGGCTATAGGGCCCAAGCCGGACAGCGCGTGCAGGATGCAGTCTTTCGTCTCTTATGCGGCTCTGGTGCTGAGGCCTCGAGACCCCACGACGTCCGAGTGACTGAGTGCTTGCAGGTCCTCTGTGGCTTCCGCCCGCTCAGGACAGGCCGTTGTACGAAAACGGCGGTAGCCGAAAACATCCACAGAAAGAGTCCGCAAAGCAGCACCGAAGCCAGGTGTCTGCGAGCTTTCCCAAATCTCTTGAACTTCGCAGCCCGAGCCCGCTGCATGCTCTGCAAGTTGCACACCTCTACCCTCTCTGGCCACTGAACATCGGAATTCCTCTCGAGGTAGGCTGCAGCCCTGAGCCCACCGGCTGCGGAGAGGCCCGCAAAATGGGATGAGGAATGCTGGGGAAAGCTCGTAATCGCTGTCGGGTCGCAAATGCCAATACGAAATAGCAACGGGGAGTCAACCCCTTAGTGAAAAGCAGAAGCCTGGACCAGCAATCCTTCCACCGGCCGAACAGTTTAAGGACTTGCTACTCTCGCTTGGGACTCGTCAGCCAAAGAGAAAGCGAAAGTCTTCACGGCAGTAATACAGGGGCCTTCATAAGTAGGGGACTGTTTTGAGGCCCATGATACTATATGCATAATAACAACAATAATAACAATAATGGAACCCCTAAAATAATATTGGTAATCATTTTAGCCCCTATATTACCCTCCTAAGCAGCATCCCTGGGTTATTGAAGCAGCGAGGGCCTTGATGGGGTTGCAGTTGTGCCAATCGTAGAAGCGTCGCGTCCTTACCTGCCAGAAAGGCTTCGTAGGTCAAGGTTTTACGTCTGTTGAAAGCTCTTGCCCTACTGCCTGGTATGTCACCAGAAGCTCCGATCGGAGGGGTACAGTCAGAGCGCGGCGGTGTTGACTTGTTTGGGGAGTTGAAAGAAAGTGGCTCGGGCCCGAGCAAGCCAATGAGTCAAACACGAAGCTCTGCCCTGAAGTGCGATTCCACATCGGAGCTCGACGATCATGAGACACCCCAAACCCAAAACTTCGGAGGCTGCAAGACGAAAGCGACAGGTGCAGCAGGGCCTCGTCGTAGCTTGGCCGGAGGCAAGCGTGGCAAGATTCCTCTCAGGGGCAGAAGCCGGAACCGGTTGAGGCTCAGCGCGCTAGAGGGAGCACATAGGGTTTCGTTCGCTGTCTTGTGGTTTAACGAAGCTTCATCCGCCGACCCTCTCCTCCCTCGCTCGAAGCAAAACTTTTCTCCCATCGCAGGCGATGCCCAGGATCTTGGTACGAGATGGGAACTACCTCCTACTCTACATGTATGCAGTATGCCAGAGACCTGACAAACACAAACCTTTGACTTCTAATGTTTTCGCAACGTCATTGTCATAATGCAACAACGAACATGGGACATAGAACACTGGCGCAACCGCGACTAAACATAACAAGCATCGACGCAGTAGGGGTTATAGTAGCAGCTGTCGTTATTGCCCTAGCCGGTGGAGTAGTTGTAGCAGCAGCAGCAGCAGCAGCAGCAGCAGCAGCAGCATGATTAGATAAAAGGCTGAAGCCTGAACCCTAAACTCCTAACGGTTAAACTCTTTTTGAATCAGGCTTGCGTAGTCTCAGGCCCTGAACACAATCCTAATGAAAGGTAAGGAAAGAGAGGAAAGCTTACCAGCGGTGCGGGCTCACAGCTCGGCATCGCGGCCCGTCTCTTGCTGCTGCTTCCTTAGCTGCTTTGGCTTGGGAGCTTCGGCATTACGGCAGTTTCCTGCACAGGGGCTTGGGGTTTCGGAGTTTAGGGTTTACGCCCTCGAAACTCGGACGAGCCAGACGAGGTCGCACGGTTCGCAGTCGGTTACGGTTCGGGGTTTCGGTTTGAAAAGGGCTGTGAAGCTCGGGGTCTAGGTCCACCTAGTTGGGGGTTCAGGGGTTGGGTCTCGGCGTAGGTTTCGATGAAAACTAACTACTGCTACAAAACCCTTTTTTGAACCCAGACTCTGCCAATCAGCTGCTACAAAACCCTTTTGCAGCAGGCTTCTCTCGCCCGGAACTGCCGTCGCCGTGAAGCAGTGCAGCACTCATGACTGCACAACCCCGCACAACATGTACTCATGACAAGCCATGCAGTTGGACAGACCAGCTGTGAGGAATGGTGCTACAAAACCCTAAACCCTAAACCCGCAAACCTTACAAGCTACATGTATATGATTTCTAGCTTGAAGCCATGGCTTTCAGTTTTTCAATAATGTTTTCGGTCTGGACATCTCGCGCTCCGACAAGGAACCACTGAGATGATGCCACGGTAACACAGGGGCCTCAATGATTCATAGCTTATGGAGGGCATTACGGCATAGACATAATAAGGAACCGTTAGGAATGATATGGGCAATTCTTGCGGCTTATGTATTAGAATAATACTATTTTGAACCCTAACCACTTAAGGAGTTGGGCTGCATCTTCCGCAAGAGAGCCGGTAGTCGACACTATGACGGTTCCGGATTGGGGTTTAGGGCCTTTTCACATCGTGCCCGCAGGCCCTTTGCCGCCCTGCACCTCATTTGCTCCTGAAGTCCGAGACCTTGCCTCGAAAATGTCGTCATTGCCACAGGTTTAGAAAAGTCTTCGGGGACTTTACATAGTCGTGGAGTCCTGCAACCCCGAGACGACAGCTCTTGGCTCTTGAACCCAAAACCTGAAACTCCGACACTCCAAGCAAGTGGCTCGATGAGGCGGGTGTAATCGCTCTTCTCGGTCTGCTTGCGGTTGAAGTCCTGCGGCGTACGGACGAGGTTGAGCTTCGAAATTCGGGCATGCACGGGATTGTGTTCTGTGCTCTGTCATCGTGGTAGCACCAGTCTACTTCGTCTGCTAGTGCTACCAGGAAGGCAGTAGTCGTTCTTGCTTTCTTGCAACATGCACTACTGTATTGCTAAGACCACGATATACCACGATTAGGAGAGGCACTGGTACTATTGTCTCGGCAAGCGTTCAAGCACGAAGCTTCCGGACAACAATCTCATGAAACTGCGACCACTTTCCCGTAGAGATGCGGTGGGATGTCCAGAAAGAGCTCGGCGTGGGTTTCAGCCTTTGTATGTTGGTTCGAGTAAACTAAGTCCTAAGCCTCTGAAGCCTAAACCCTACAACCACCCAAGCCCCAAGGGTGTACGTAGGTTTGTTTCGATTCAGGATTCAAAGGGCGCCACAGCCTAGCGAGGAAGAGTGGGCAAGTCTTTCCCGGTCCTCCAACTGCGAGAAGTTCTTGCGCTTCGCGATGAGCTTCTTCAATGCTGGCGGGTACCTCGAGTCTTCAGTCTTCTCGAAAACTGATGTTCGGCTGAGTAAAACAAACACCATAAAATTCTCAAACCTCCTAGCCGGATCATCCACCGAGTGGCTGCCCGACGCAGTACCAGCTGCCAGGGGCATCGCAGATTCCTGGGTAGGATCTTCCTGAACCCTTTTTTTGAGCACGGGCTTGGATTGTATGCCGGCAAGATGCTCGAGGGCAGGGACTTCCCAGTTAGAAAGACTGTACATACTGGGGTATGCAGCTACGAGCCTTCCTGAACCCTAAACCCCAAACCCCATAAACCCTAAACCCTAAACCCTATAAACCCTAAACTCCTAAACCCCTAAACCCCTAAACTCTAAACCCCTTTTTTTCGATGCACTTTTGCATCCGGGCTTGGAGAGTCGGCCGGGAAAGGTCAGGAAATTGCTGTGATTTTGATGCACTAAACCCCTAAACCCCTTTTGCAACAGGCTTCGTACTTCGCCTGGAGCCCCTAAACCCCTAAACCCTAAACCCAAAGGCCCTAAGGATATTCTCACTCGGATTTCAGCACTCAGCCAGGCGATCTCAGGTCTAAGGCTCTGCAACTTAGGGTGCTGAACAGTTATCAAATCTATAAATCTATATGTCGAAGGCTTAGAACCTTTAGTGGCCTTTAGTGTTTGGTGTTTAGCATTGCCCAAGCGCATTAACATGCAGGTTCGAGCTCAAGGCACCGTATATCTCCCTCCTTTGATAACCAGTTAGCTGGTCAGCAAGAGCTCACAGGCCTTGAACCAAATCCGACAAAAGCCACGGCAACGAAAGTGATGATTCCTAGAACAACAGCAATCGAAAACCACAGGAGTAGTAAGAATATGCCTTATGTATATTCAGTGTAGCCCCTACTAAACTCCTAAGACCCTGAACCAAAAAATGCCTTACAACCTACACCCCAAACAGCAAAAACACACACCACACGCATCCTTCAAGTCATGGGGCGGTTTGCCGGATCCGCCACCCAGTCCTTCGATTCCTGCGAGACGTTCAGCACCTGAACGCCGGTAGGAATGCCAAGCCCAGAACGGGCATCTTAGGGCAACAGGACCGGGTGTAGTGACTCGGTGGAAAGTAGGAAGGCCCGCAGCAGGGTAGTGTACGAAGCTCTCTGCCAGCTCAGTGTGCCTCCCGTGAAAGGACCATCGGAGTTGGTAACCGAGGTTATGTAAACAGGGTAACTGTACATATGGATACCCGTAACTGACAACCCGTGCTCAAGAAACCGACCACCTCCCTGCTCCCCAAGTAGCATCCAGCTGCAGCGCTTTGGGACTTCGGTGCAGGTTGTTTAAGAGAAAAAGAAGAAACAATTACCAGGTAAGGTTTCTTCAGTTACTACAGGGTTAACATACCTCGAATGTAGGATCCTTATCTTCAAGTGCTGTTTGGGCACCTATTCACGGTTCGGGAGGGGCTACTTCAAACCTAAAAACGAATTTCCAATCGTTGCAGATCTGGAGTCGTGGGCTGAGGGTTAGGTTACCCTAAAGCCTAAACCGAGGTTCAGCCCTGAGGTTCAAGGCCCTATGCCACGATGGAGGCTTTGGACTGTCAAAACATCTAAGCCCGAACAAAGCTAGCAGCTGTCGGCTCAAGATGAAATTTATGCAGCCATGGGTCCCAACTGTCCTGTTGGGACCTTCTTTTGGGGCTTTTAAACCCTCAGCCCCAAACCTTCAAGCCCCAAACCTCCCTCCTCTTCCAAGAGACCTGCCTGGTAGATTCGCATCAGCCCATGCTTCGTCGTATGAACTTCCTCGCGCTGGGTGTGCGACTGGTGTCTTCAAGGCTGTCGTTTGGGGCTTTTCCGGCAGTCCTGGGGAGGCGATTCGGGTTCCCATCGAGGGCTTCGGGTTAATTACTATCCAGGGCTTAGGGCTCAGGATTTATAGGGTTGAAGGTCAAGACAACAAACGACTCGGGCCCCTCAGCCCTCATCCATCCCTAAGGCCCTAACGCTTCTGCCTCCAATTCCTGATAAATACGCGTGTAAAGGTTACTTCTAAGTGGCGCTGCACACCAAAACCCAACCTTCGACCTCAGACCGCAGCTTCGATTCGACGGGGGGCTTGCAGCAGGCACAGGGCGATTTCGGATGTGGGTAATGCTGCCGCGCTTTACGGTTTCGGATAGTTCCAGCGGCCCCACCACCCCTATGACGAAACCATCAGACACAAGGACCACCGCTGTGCACAGACAGATGACTCCTGATAACTTACCGTAGACCTGCAAGTATGCCCACAAACTCGAAACCCTGAAACCCGAATCCAAATCCCAAAACCCGGAACTTTAGTTAAAGCCATAAAACCTGTAATTCCGAAGGCTACTGCTTCAAAAGGAACTTCCGCCTGCAGGCTATTTCGGTTCTCTCCTTGTCGAAACTCATCAGGAGGGTTTTGGGATTTAGGGTTCTAGGGTTTAGGGCTTCGAGTTTAGAGCTTTAGTGCTCCAGGGTCTCCGGGAATTGTGGCTTAGGGTTTAAGGCAAGGTGAACCTCTGATTTATAAACCCCCTTGACAGGGATTACAATAGGGATCCTGGGTCCAGGCAGATGCTTAGCTGCGTTTCGTTCTTGCCCAGGCTCTTGCCAAATCTCGCCAATGACTGCCAGTATTGAGGGGACACACAGACAAACCATAAACTCTTAGGCTAGACTTCTCTGGCGACTATAAAGGGTACCTGAACACCAACTCTTCACGCGTCGATAACTAGTGTAGGGGCCCTAATAATTAGAATAGGGTTTTGGGGGTCCTTATGATAATTATAGTATAATATGCCCCCAAAGCCTGTTCTAATTATTAAGGCCACTATTCTAATTATTAAGGCCCCCATACTAAGGCCCCTGCGTCTCCCCAGGTCCCTGCCTTGAAGAGCTTGGGGTTCAACTCAACGTCGGGAAGGAGCTTGTGCTTCACGGCGTTGTAGACGAAGGACCTCCCCCCATGCCGGACCCGGTTTAGGATCCGGGTGGTTTAGGGTTGGGGGTTTGAAAAAGACCCTCAATCTTGAAGACGTTCGGGCGATGACGAAGTCTCAGACTTCGAAGTTCTAGGGCTTAGGGAGTGGCTGCTTTGGGCTTGGGGCATCTGGGCTCTCTTTGGGGCTTCGGAGTTTGAGGCTTTCCCGGAATGGAGAGGTAGGGTCTAGGGCCTCAACATTCCCCCCCGACATGCGGGTTTCGGGTTCGGGGTTTTGGGTTTAAGCTAGGAGAGCATGGTCTGGGAACCCGCCTTTCAGGTTCCGGGCCTATCCTCCAAACTTTGCTTGCATGGGGTTCGAGCAGGAGGTGCCTCGTACTAGTTGGATGTTTTCGCGGGGGCCATAGAAACTATGCAGCACAGGGTGGGGTTCTCAGGGACCGACATGGAAGCGCCCAAGTACGGGAGTCTGTCGTCTACATCATATGAAGGATGCAAACCCTGAACCTCGGCCATCACACAGCCAATCCAAAATACTGCCAAACTGGCTGTACTGCGTACCGCAAAGCAGGGATGCAGGGCTTCAACACCTCTGCCTTGAGCACCTGCGTTTACTTGTCGTGCTTCCCATGAGTTTTTGCACATAGACAGCAGAAACGTATGTACATAAGCGGAATATAGCCGAAGCATGCAAGAAACGGGCGCAATGCTCAGCGTAAACATGAACTTACAGTAGTGATGATACAAATGCTCGTATCGCTAGTTCGGGAGCGATTACTCAAAACCGTCACAGCCCAGAAATCCAAACCCTGCTAGGACTACTTCTGTGAGCCGTCCTACCAGCACAAGCAAAGCAAGCAACATGAGGAATGAAAATATTGGTTCTGCTCTACTCGCATGGCGATAGTGCTAATTCAATTCGGCATATTGCCGAAAAGACAGGTGGCTCACGCATCATCGGCGTTGGCTGCGGGTACGCTGCATATTTACCTTCAGCAAGGTGGTTCTAAGCTAAACCCCGCATGTCACAACCGCACTGACTACCTAAACAAGACCTATCCTAAAGCCTCATGGCGAAAATCCGAAAATCCTCAAACCTAAATTCCGCCGAAGGAACATGTGTCCTTGTCCTTGCTAAATGCATGACTATGACCTGATTCTACAGCACCCTGAACCCTGAACCCTTACAAGCCGAAATGTATGCATCATCTTGGGAGGTGCCAGAGGAGCCCCAGATAATGGGTTCAGGAAGCCCTAGGCCCTAGACCCTAAACTCCTTCCCTATGCAATTAAAACTATACGAATAACTAGACCAGCTCAACATACATTCCGGACTTCAACCCCTAAACTCTATATCAACCCAACACACCTGTATACATAAGACTACTACAGCCCGTACATAATTGGGCTACACTACACTGACCTGCAAAAACCCTAAGCCCTAAGACTACAGTCCTTCGTTCAGGGCTCTCTGAGGAGCTTGCCCCTAGGCGCGAAACCCTACAAACTTCCTGTACCCTAAACCCTTTCTACACCTGGGCTATGCATGCCGGGAACCGAGGCGCCGACTGTGCTTTGGAATCGTGCCAGCTAGGTACCCTAAACCCTAGACCTACACCTTAACCCCAATCTTTCCTTAACCCTAAACTTCTAAACCCTATAAATCCTAAACCCTAAACCCCAAACCCTAACCCCTAAACCCTAAACCCAGGGCTGCTTTCAGGGCTCTCCGGAGTGCTTCCCAAACCGAGCGTCTGCAAGTCGGATCCCGGGGCCCGCAGATGTCCGGGAACACGGAGTTCCTTGGGGTCGGGTTTCAGGATCGAGGGAGGGGTCTTCGGGGTTTGGGGTTCAGGGTTTAGGGTGTTCAGGTTTAGGGTTTACTAAGGTTTGGGGTTTAGGATTCTCCTTTTTTTGAGGGTCGTTTTATTTGCTCTCCGTGCAGAGGCCCTGTTGGGGCGGGCTAAGGATTTAGGGCTTGGGGTTTGGATGTCGTTATGGCTTTGTTGTAGGAGTTTCTTAGTTGTTTTGGGGTGCTTTTCTGGGTTGGAGTTCCTTACTTGTCTGGGGTTCACGGGGCTTGGGTACTGTAGCTGGCCCACTCCATCAAATTCGCACAAGCGGAAATGTCTCTACTTTGGACTATCCTCTTGCCGCGCAGGCATCCCAATCCGCGCAAAGTGGGTCGAGATCCTTTCACAGCCGGAGCAACGAGCACTTCCCCCCACGAAGCATGACCCCAAGCCCCACTAAAGGTTGTTAAATAGGGCTTCTGCAGTATAGGGTAAACCACTTGCATTAGGAGTACTTGAAATGGGAAATAAGAAATCATGTCTGGTGTTCCCTTATTTGCATCCCTGATTTCAAGCACTCACGAGACTTCAGGAGGGGCTTGAGACTAGAAATGTAATCGAGAATTCTGAAGAACAGCTAATGGAAAGTATTTAAGCCGCCACACGACACCTCAATGGCTTCTATAGCTGAACCGTGGAGGTCCTGAGTTTGAAGCAAGATACCCACAAAGAGTCCTAGACAGGGGCACTAGTTCAAATCAAATCTCATATTTAATATTGAACCTCGGATACCTTTTTTTTTGCATCTGGTGTGCAGCGACCGAACCAGGACCTAATCCCGCTCTTTTGCATCCAGCATCTACTACATCGGCTGGAACCCAATCAAGGCCTACAGCAAGGCTGCAAAGCTCCGGTGGCACGCATCGGGCAGGGGTTTCGATATCGGACAAGGCAGGCAAGCCTCCGCATAATGTCAGTCACGCAGGATGACCCCATGATGTATGGTATGCCACGAGAACCAGTCTAAGACAATGAATCACCCCCAAGGCCCGCCCGCATGAGGTCATCGCCATGAAGTCATTTGGCAGGAAATTTCTAGGTTCAGGATGCAACCTAAAGCTCAGGTCCTAAAGCCCGAAGAACAGTACACCATTCTATGCTTAAGCCCTGCAGGTCCTGAGGTCTGTCTCCCTCTCACCGGCCCAGACTAGCACGTAGTCGGCGAGGTGTCGCCTGAACTGGGGGTCAGGATTTGTTGACGCTCACACTCCTCAGACGAAGCCAGGCAAGGTCTGCAGCGAAATAAGAGTTTAGGTTGTGTTTAGGGATTAGTGGGAGCTTTGGGTTTAGTGTTTAGGGTTTAGCTAGGGTGTAGGGCAACTTAAACCACAAAATTCCTTACGTGTGCGCTTGGGTCTGGTTTTGGGCTCACACCGACAAACTTGGTGCACATCTATCGTAGCGGACGTGCTAATCTTCTCTGGGTCGTTACAACTGAGTCGGATGATCCGTTATCGTTTGGGGAAGATTTAAGGCTCGGGCATTGAAGGGGCTTGTGGCGGAAGAGAACGTGAATAGTCAGGCTACGTATAGCTACAGGTATGAGGGAGCCTCCATGGATGTCTGTCCTTGAACCCCTAATTTCTCAACCCCAAACCCTATCTCGCAGGCGCTAAAATATTGTAGCATTACTATATGAAAGAACCCTGAGACAACAGTCGTACAAAGGAACCGTATCATGAGTTGTTGTAGTAATTAGTATTGTATGAAGGAACCCTCTCTACAAAAAGGAGTATGGAGGAACAGTATAATTAGTTATTCAGGTTTCTACATGAGTGCACGCTATTCTGCACGCTCCGCCAAGGCGCATGATGTTGTGCGACTTCTTCACCGGGTTGGACAAAATGCGGCCAATGGTAGCCTCGCTGGGCTGTCGCCCAAAGCAGGGAACCCTGGACATGCTTCAAGCCAAAACTGCCCGGTGGTTTCCAACACGGTCTTAGCATCTGGGGCGGCTCGGCGGTTCGACTAAAAAGGTTGCTACACTACCACTTGCACTGTGATGCAGCAAGCCCTGACTGACTGTTGATGAGGAGAGCTAGAATTAAACGAATTCCAAAGGTCTGCTCAACCGTACTGCACCATCCTGTGGCCAGTTCCCAAACACTGCTACTTGCCCTCTGGCCCTTTTACAGTTGACCGCAAGCCGACAAGCGATCTGTCTAGATCAGTCTTAACTACATTATTGGCCGCCCGCCCTGCAACCCAAGCACTCAAACTCTACTGAGAGAGTCAGCAACAGATGCTCAAACATTCGGAGACTCGGACTTAGACCCGGACGCTCGGACAATTAGACGACCCTCAGACTTAGACACTCCGACACTTTAGGGGTTCGGCATTAGGGAATCCGAACCCCAAAGCCCCATGAAGAGCGAGGCTCGATGTGCTCGTGGTTCCACGTGTTGCCATCAGCCACAGAGGTCCGCTTCGCAATGCCGGTGATTTGGTAGCCGTAGTCCCACCAGGCCAAAACCTAAATTGCAGGGTGTAGCATTGGGGCTCCACGGGGTACGAAGAAGGTCACCAGGAGGGACTGAAGGACTCTGTGGTGTGGGGTGTTTTGGGCTTGGGGCTTTGGCACTTTGGGGCTAAGAGTTTGGAATGGTTTGGGCTTCAAGTCCCGGAGCTCCGGGTTTGGGGCCTCCACGTCTCAGAAACGCCTGGCATAAGGTCTCAGCGTTTGCGGGTTGAGAGTGCAGGGTTGAGTAGAGGGCTTCAGGATAACGACCCGACCATACCCAGGCAAATGACGGATACGAATTGCAGCGGCTGCTGGCCACTGCCAATGATACTATGGGGGGCCTTCATAGCTGGAATAGGGCCTTCGGGTATATTATACATAATTATTGAAAAAAGGATCCCCCCAAATTTCGGGTATATTATACATAATTATTGAAAAAAGGGACCCCCCCAAAGTAGGCATTTGCACTTTGCACTTCACTACCGACGCGAGAGCTACGAGGGCATGGATTCGAGAACGGCAGCTGGTGCACTGCTAGCAATGTAGCAGCCTCAATCCTATACTGAACTTAGACCCCTAGCAAAAATTATAATTTTAGCTGCTTCTTAGGGTTTATAGTAGCCAAAGATTAAAAATTATTTCTAAGTACCCCCAAGAATCATTTTAGAATAAAGTGAATAAGGGTTTGAGGATAGTAGGATCATAAACAAACCTGAAGCAACCTTCCAAGAACCCTGCACCAGTCGTCTTTCCTCCAGAAAAGCCGAAGTCAGAGTTCTCTACTTTCATTCATATCACACACGCATCGCCAAGGGCAAGCCACTCTGGAATCCGGCGGCGTGTTCTTGTCGATCCAGAGATATCCTGAACCAGAGACCCTGCCAGTACCCTCTACACTGCACTTCCATCATTGCACTCGCTTTAGGAGCTCTTGACACTAGGGCCCTTTTGCTTCTGGAGCGACCCAAGCGGCCTTGGTAGTAGTCGTCCACAATGATGGTCTTGCCATTTCGAAGTCCTCAGAGAGTTTTTCCCGAGCAGCAACGGTGACCCCTTCTGCCCTTTACCCCAGCAGTGAACCCTGAACCCGAAACCAGTTCAGGTCTAGCTGTGCTTCAACGGTGTACATGGAAAAAACATGGAAACATCTTCTGGAACTATGTTTACACTTTGCTCTATCATCTCTTGTGGGTAGAAAAAAGCGACATTCGGGCGATGTCTCAGAGTCACAGAATCAGAGCTGGAGAGCGAGAGCCGGGTCTGATAAGAAGAAATCACATTGCGGCGGTACCCTAAACCCTGAACCCCCACATCGCATAGGTGGCCAGGGAGCCAACCAACTCGCTCAAGTTTTGGGATTTGGGTGCAAAGGCTAAACGGCTGGTGAGGTTACGGCCTCAGAAAGGAAGGCGCCTGAATGCATAATATAGGCGCCTGAACAATTGGTCTAAGGTCTTGGTCGTTCTTCAGGCGTCTACAGTCGATCTTTGTTTGTCAAGCACCCAGACCTTCGCATTGCCTTGCCTGGCGCGAACAACTTCAGCAATTCAGCCCATTCTCAACAACATCCCGGGGTGATTTCCTGTCAAGGGGGACTCCTAGGTGTTTAGAGGGCGTCAAGAAGAAACCCTGAAACCTAAACCCTAAACTCCTTTTGCTGCAGGCTTCCAAGCAAGAACGCCTGGTAGGTAGCCAAACCCCTAAACCCCTAAACCCTGAACCCTAAACCCCAAACCCCTATACGTACCCCTAAACCCTAAACCCCCGGTTCCCTGGTGGAAGGAACTTGAAATCTCCCTCTCATCGAAGCTGCGCGCTTCGTAGGCCAAGCCTGGGCCCGCCAAGGACTCCGCGTGCGAATAGCCTCGAGGGATGACTATACTGAACTTAGACCCCTAGCAAAAATTATCATTTTAGCTGCTTCTTAGGGTTTATAGTAGCCAAAGATTAAAAATTATTTCTAAGTACCCCTAAGATGAAGAGTTGTTGTTCACTCGCGCGCTCGCACAGCATACACGGCTTCAAGATCATCCAGGATGAAGGGTTTCGACTCTCACTCTCGCACTCGGCAGGCAAGGCTCCTCATATGAAGGGTTTAGGGTTTGGAGCTTCGGATTTGCTCGCTCCACGTTTCAGTTTAAATCTCAAGCCCTTGGCCGTATAGAACCCTAGACCAGAAGGCCCTCCACATGGCCCTCATTGCTCTATTTATGACAACCCAATGCTACACCACCTTGCCTTTCCAGACGACTTCAAGCTGAGATTAGAATCCAAAGACGCCCGGTGAGGCGGGCATTGCGTCGGTTTGGGCGCATCATACCAAAACTACGCGGGGTCAATCGAATGAGACTGGTGGTTGTGGAGGCTCCTAGACTTTTCTTTGGCTTCTAAACTGAGGCCGAAGATGGTGATTGCGTGCTCATAAAGGTCGCTTGGGGCTACCATGGGCTGCCTAGCGCTTTAGGATGATAGCCTTCGACTTTGGGAGGGTCGCATGTAATCCAAGGTGCTCACCAAAGTTGCCTAAGCAGCTGATAATCTGCGTTTTCAGGGATAAATGAACTAAAAAGCAGGTACCCGAGAGCCTATGTTAGGGTCGCATGGTCGACCTTAAGATGCTTGTTAAGCGCACCTTAAACACAAGCGCTAAAACTTAAGCCCTAAACCCCAGTGCTTCGGCTCGGATTGTTGGGCTCCCAGGTGCCGCTGCCGAGGCACACAGATGCACGAACTTCTCCCAGGGCTCCTCGCGAACTGGGTTCTTGTTGAGGAACCCCTTACTTAAGGAGGCTACCTCAACAGGAGGGATTACAGCAAATAGCATGGTTGCCTTATGGTTGTAACTCAAAGTCCAGTTCCTGATCCCAGAATCCAGCAAAGCGTTTCAACGATGTCAGGTTTAGATATAGGGCTTGGTCCCAAAAATTAAAAAAAAAAACTTTCAGGCTTTTGACCCTCTGCATGGAGGCTGTCCTAAACTTCGAACTGGAAGCCCCACAAACTATGTTGTACAGGGCTTTAGCCCCTGCAGCCCTAAGACCCAAAAACTAAGAAGCCCTCAAACGCCAGAAATCACTTAAAAGTTTCGCAAAACCCCAGGACCCTAAACTCCAAACTTCCTAAACTCGAAAACCCTTAACCAAAACTTGAAGCACTAAATCCGAAAGAATTAAAGCCCTGAACCTCCGACGCACCGAACCAGGGAACCCCACCAACATGCTGCAGGCCGCAAGGTTTAGGGTTGTACCTGCAAAGTACTGGGCAGTCGCTTTCTAACCTGTATAGACCTGAACAGCCCTTGAAAACACGATAGAGCCCTAAAATATCCCAAACCCCATCGGAAAATGTTGATAACCGCTTCAAAATCTTTTTCAAAATCCCTACCAAAAAGCTGTTCATAAAAAGTATGCACACATTTACATAATATAAGACTTTTAGAAGAGACCCTAAACCCTAAGCCCTAAACCCTAAACCCTAAGCCTTAAACCCTAAACCCTAAACCCTATAAGAGAGTGCTCCTGGGCCTCGCGCCAGGCCCAGCTCGCCAGGATGGCGGCCAGGAGGAGCCTCGAGCTCGGAGGTTGTAAAATCCTAACTTTCTGGTTCTATAGGGTTTAGGGGTTTAGGGTTCAGGGTTTAGGGTTTAGGGTTCAGGGGTTAGGCTTCAGGGGTTTCTGGCTTTAGGGCTTTAGAGGTTTAGGGTTAGGGGTTTCGGGTTTAGGGGTTTAGGGTTTAGGGGCTTTGTGTCATTTTCAGTCTTGACGTTTGAACAAAACGACTGACCCTATAAATGGAGTTATACGTTCCCTAATATACGTTATAACTGCAGTTACCCTACTCGTAACCCTACTTAAAACCACCCGTGAACCTCCAAGCAGGATGTAGGGTTGGGATTTAGGCTGAGGGACGCAGCCTCAGCAACTAAGTTGTAAGTAGTTCTGGGGCGAACACCGACCTGGGTTTCCATGACTCTGCATCTATCTAACCTATTTCCGAATGTGCTCAGTCTGGGGCGCGCGCCTTGTGCCCCAATACAGCAGCCATCTAATGAAAATAGGGCGACACTAGAAATATAGTGAGGAACGCAAGAAAATAGTGTTGGTAATAATTCAGGCTTCTGTCTTATCACCGATCTTGCAAGGTGCGGCCAACACGAAGAATTGCTGAAGCTTTTCACCCATGTCACACTCGCACCTGGATAAAAGCCCCAGCAGAAGCCTGCAAGAACCCCTACAGAATCCTACAAGACACCATACAAGTTTCAACTGATACATCTTTGGCAATGGCTTCAAATTTATCATCTGCAGTGACTCCGCCCCTGGCCGCGTATCCCAAACCACAGCAAAAATAATTGTACAGGTGGCATAGTTCAAGGGCTGAAAGCCAGTCAGACCTGCTAGTATGAGTGTACTAACGAGCTGAAGCAACTACAGCGTACTGCATGACTGATTGCATCCAGCCAGAGACATGTAGCTCAAGTAGTTGCCGGGCGCTTTAAAAAAATGTTCCCAAAAATGTTTATGCAGGTCTCGATAAACTTGCTCTCCAGTAGAAGTCATACATACCCTGACGAAGCCCTGCAGAAACTACCGAAGCCTGATTTAACTCGATGGGCAGTGGACTGAGGTCGAGGCCAGCCTACACCACAAGGATTCCAAATTCAACCCCTGGACCCTCAACTCCCAAGCCCCTACTTGGAGGTTCATGGG